TTGCYTGCACTATAAACAACCCTACTGAGAGGAAAGAAGAACTGAGCCGAGCAAAACGGCTGTAAATGAGAGCTGCTGCTTTGTCAGACAAATTTATTTTAATTTGGAAGCCTTATCAACACGGACTGGCTTCATTCACTTCCTCCACTGCCATTGCTAAACTAGCAGACACTGTGAAAAAAAATCTATGTTGTCAAATCTCTGCCTTTTGTTTGCTGATTGGCCCAGGTAAAATAAACTACAAGTAGACACGGTGCAGAAAATCGACGTTCTGTTCTCTGATTGGCCCGAACTATGGGAGAAACCCCAGACGGAGCAGTGAAGCGAAATTAGAATTGAGCGGAACTGCGTATGAAGGCAAGGGCCAGGCTAGGTGAGAGGGTAAATAGGTGGGTAGCTGGATGGATGGGTGGATGGATGGATGGATGGATGGATGGATGGATGGATGGATGGATAGATGGATGGATGGATGGATGGATAGATGGATGGATGGATGGATGGATGGATGGATGGATGGATGGATGGATAGATGGATAGATAGATAGATAGTACACTGAAAAAACTTGAAAGATTTACTTGAAAAAAATCCTCGTACCAATTTACACTGTTTGTTAAGTAAATTTAAATGCTACAAATTCATGTAATATTTACCCATCATTATCTAGTAAAAGTTCTTTAGAATATAGTTAAAGATTTGTGAATAAATCAGGTAAATTTTATTTAATTTGCTCAATTAAATCTTGTAACATAATAAATTTGATCAAATGAAATTTAGAGATTTTGATATTTTTTTGTAAAATTTAAAAGAATAATTAAATAAATGTTACTACNATCAAATGAAATTTAGAGATTTTGATATTTTTTTGTAAAATTTAAAAGAATAATTAAATAAATGTTACTACACCCAAAAGTTTGTTTTCTCGGTGTAGATGGGTGGTAGATAGATGGATGGAAGCTGGACAGGTATATGGGTAGATACAGCATATGGGTGAATAGATAGATGGGTGGGTAGAAAAATGGGTAGATGGATGGTAGCTGGATGGGTAAATAGATGGTAGATAGACGGGTGGGTAAGGATGGATAGAAGGATGGTAACTGGATGGGTTGACAAATTGGGTACAAGGATGTGATGTCTCGTCATCTGTCTTATCTTCCCACGTCACTCTTCTAGATTTGATAAACTGAAGATTTCACACATCTTCATTTTGTCACACCAGGGGGTTCCTGTATCATTTACAGACTTTGATTTATTTTCTCGTTTCCTCTTGTCACCCCACTGTGGTCTTAAAGGCTCTGTGCATGAGACTGAATCACACTCTGAATCATCAGTGGCTCTGTAGTCGCTTTCCCAAGCAGAAAAAGATATGCATTATTCAGGATTAAGAGAAGAGCACTGACTTTTTAGGCTCAACAAATCCTCACAGCACCAACAGGATGTGTGATCCCATCATTAGCAGTAGCCCCAGGGAGCTGTAACTCTGCTTTGATTAAAGGTCTCCCTGAAAGGTCAAGAGGGAGAGGGTGCATAAAGAGAGCAGGAGTGCAAATTTATGGACCAAAGAGAARCTTTGGCAGATGCTAATGTCCTTCCTTACTGTCAAAGTGAAGCTGGAAATGAGTGGGCATTCTGCTGGGATGATGTGAGTTGGACTTGATGTGCTTATAAAATAAATATTTGAGAGAAGTTTTCATTTTATTTCATATACTGTGTTTCTTATTTTATTCAGCACAAACCACATTAGCAAAAAGCAATGTAATTAGCTATCAACTTGCACACTAAAACTATTGACAGTACGTCAGATTTTCACACTTCTGATAGTCTTTACTTTTATTGTCCTACATCTCATTGGACTGTTTGGTGACAAACTATGATAATGTTCAAGTAGCATTTTTTTAAAAATGTCTCAYTTCCCATGAGACATCTTATTTTAAGTTTTTGAAGCTAGACTAATTTTTCCAGCAGTTGTTCTGTAAAAGTTTGTTTTTACTTTGACAAGAGTTGTTTCTGGATGAGTTCTATTAGAGGGAGGGTCATAAAACTGCAGCTGCACACGACCGGAAGGATTTAACCTCCACTTTCTCTCTGGCAAGACATTTTTAAAAATGCTCATGCGATAGTAATGGTAAGACAGAAATTTTTAACAGATTTGAAACTGTGACTTTTTTTTCATGAGTGTTAAAAAGGTAACTAGTCTGAGTTCCAAAATCACATTAAAAGGGTTCTCATCAAATGTACTCAGCCCAAAAGTCTTAGTGGTCTACAGCCAGACCACTGAAACTTAATCCAGTCTGTAACAAAAGCCTTTGTCACAAAGAAGAAGGAGCTGCAGTGTACAAAGGTGTTTGGAGGAAAATCTGGAGTTGGCTGCTCGAATGGGTCTTCCTGCCGAATAGAGAAGGGTGTGGCCCTTTGAAGAATGTAGCTAGAAGCTAGACGAAACTTCTTCGCCACCCGCTTAAACATACTTCCTCATCAGCTGCTTAGTTGAGACCTTTCTGTAGGATTTAACTACACTCTTATAACAAGCTTCTATGGAAATTATTTTAACAAGGATCTTTTTATTTTTGGTAAATACTTCTTTCATGCAAAAATGAATGGACAACACAATGAAGAACATGGCTCAGTGAATTTTGATTGATCCAACAATAAATGCGACCATTTATTTACACAAGCAAACTAAATCACTACAGTGCACTTAATTGCGAGTGATCAATTTCCTATAAAAGTTTAAGAATCAGTAACAATCCAGATCGTGTCCAAACTTAATTGTTCATCAATTCAGCACTTAAAATATACAGCAAATGTCAAGCTAATGTTTTGAATACCAGACATTTGAGGCAAATAACTTAGGTTGACCAGGTAAAGGTTTAAGAGAAAGGAGGAAGTAAGATATTAGTATTTCTCCTTATCTTAAATAATTGGAATGTGAGAACCAGAAGAGCAGTGTTTCTCACTCGACGTCTGTCAGACCAGCAACACTTAGTAAAACAGTCAGCTTTACCTTGACAATGACCGTCGAGTCACGATTCAGGTTGTAGGGAGGTCGAAAAGCGGCAAGGAACCGTTACAGCCTCTTGTTCGCTCGGACTCTCCGAGGCACGATTTACCCTTTCAACGCCAGCTCAGTCCACATCAGTCGTAACGAGGAGGTTAGGCTCACTGGATACTGATTCCAAAATAAGACTTGCTCCTTTTAATCACTCCCCACAGGAAGTCAAGACAAAGTTGCTCTGAACTTTTGTTTTGGGTCACACCAGGCGTTGGCATGGCCCGGCCGAGAAATCCAGCCTTTGGCTTCTGGACGAATTACTCTGCCAAAACGCTAGTTCTCCCAGAGGAGAACAGCTGTTCAGTGTTGAAGGAAGGGAGGTTCGTCTCTCTCTACTCTCCGGGCGGGAACTTATGCTAGTCATTAAAGAGGATTTTGGTCCCGCCCTGAGTCGATAAGGTTAGAACAGGTAGAGAAGGAAAATGTTAGAAGAAGTTGCCAAGGTCAGACTTATCTAACATAATTATTGATTCTGTGTAGTTCAGAAACAAAACATATCATTTTTAGTGATTTTCTGATGAGAACTCTTTAAAAACATAACTGAAAGAGTGAATTACTTCACTCAAAACATTTGCAATATAATTCAGACAAATAAAACATTGTTTCATCAACTTAAACCATAATAATTAGTTTGGTGAAGTAAGATATTTCCACAGAAAGATCCATAATATAGCTTGTTATGGCAATATTTATTTAACAAAGACAGAAATATGTGGTCCAAGAATGAAGGTACTCCGTGAGGTGATCAGCTGAGTTTTATTGCAACAACAGGAAACACAGAGAACAACCTGGTCTGTCTCTGTGCCTCTGCTTCTCTCTGTCACTGTCTCTCCACACTACTCACTGTTCACCGTTGAACACTGTGTCACTCACTCGAGAGGCCTAATATATATATATTAACAAACACCATAATGTCATCTTAGCAAGATTTGATACAAGGTCAATGGAAAACACAAAGATAAACACAAGTGATATCTAAGAATGACTGTTGTTATCAAATCTTGTTCTGACTTTAATCATTCTATCCGCTGATGAACAGCATGTCATGAAAACCTAGGTCATTAAAGGATGTCATGAATTACTTGCTTAAACACAAAAGTATTAGTTTCATTACATCTCCCCCATCTGATCATTAAATCACCAATTAAATGATCAATAAAACAAAAAAGCCTCTAATGTATTTAAAAAAACATGTCAACATAAACCTAAGTATATGTATTTTTCTGAAATCCCAACCACAGTAATTACTAACCACAAAACATAGTTATCACCCAAAAGTCTTTGGATCATCTTGAACACAAACAGGATTGTCTGTTTTGATGTGTGGAAGAGTCCGAGGTGGTGATGGGGCTCTGTGACTTTTTGTAGAGGCTGGTTTAGTGTGAGGGGCTGGAAATTGAGGGTTACCTGGATTTGGACATGGTTTTTGTTTGATCTTAATCTTGCCAGGAGATTAAGTTCCATTACATAGCTGAAATCACATTGAGAGAGAAACTATGTGTTCTCTTTCCTCCTGTAACTTGATCAACATTGTTTCATGATCATCAAAATGTGTAATAACTTTCAGTTAAGAGAAAAATCAACCAAATAAAAAGAAGATTATTCTGTTTATTATCTGAGTAAGAAAAGGAGAATGTCTCTTTGATGGTTAAGATGACCTATCACGGCCTAAATTAAGTTCTAAGTGGGGCAGAGTTCGGTCTCCTTAAACGCCCCATCAGAGGCCTGGGGTCAAAGCCAATTTCCTTGTTTATTTCACTTGAGGTGACCCCTACAGTTTGTAGAAGTTTGAACCCTTTGTGGGCCAACTTGACTGGCCCAGTTGTGACTTGGCTTATGTGGTTCTGGCCCACACTTGGACCACCTCTGGTAAAGCGCATCTGGGCCATCATTCTTTGCAATAACTGGCCCATAATGATATTGTAAGGGTTTGCAAAAAGGAGTACTCAAAAATAAACCAAGATTGACAGTGTAGAGGCAGAGAAACTATGAAAATTTAAAGTGTTTATTATTTACAGTGAATGATGAAATCTGGTCAAGTCCTGAAAGGGAAGGTTGAGCTATGTTAGTATTTGTTTGAGGTGAGTCTTTGATTTTGTTTGTAATAGGTTTTTCTCTTACAGGTTTCACGCAGGAGGCAGACATGGAGGAGGAGGCACAAAGGTTCCAGGAGGTAAGTCCAGAGTTGTGAGTTTGTGTGTTTTTAGATCTCTTGGCAGGAGTGGCAGGACGAAGGAGAGGAGGCAWGAGCAGGAGGTTCTTTCCAGGAGGAGGTTCCACAATCACAGGAGGTAAGTCCAGAGAGTAATCACCAAGTCTTCCTTGGAGAGTGGATACAAAAAAATATAATTACTTCACAGAGAAACAGAGAATTAACTAGATACCGAGGTGARTGAATAATCCAGCGAGGAATGGAACGTCCAGAAGACCTTAAGAAGAGCCCAGCCTCATCAGCAGAACCCAGAACAGGTGGTTAATTGGAAGCTCCTCCCCTGCCACTCGAGATCTGAGAAGGTGAGTGGAAAAGTACAGACACCAACAAACAACACAYCAACCTCAATTGATATTGCATCAAATTGATTGCAGACTTGTGAATATAACTGAGTCTAAATTGTATCACGACAGACTTTGATGTCAAAAAGCACTGTATCCTCATCCAAACAAATCAATCAATGGTATTGTGATAAAGATGCTGATTTTAACCCCTACCAGCTCGTTGAGATACTGGCTTTCATGTTCCTGTTTTTAATTATTTATTTATTTATTTTTAGCTCAGATGGGAGCCAGGTTTGAAATGACCTATTCAGCTGTTGAGTAGTTGGCACTTTTCGTTCATGGAACATGTCCTCTCTGCCCTTTCATCCCACTAATAGTATTTATCCGTTCAACCCAGTTGTACTAAAACCCAGGTTGGGACAATGACTGGTCCAAAGGTCCTCTGGATGAGGCCCAGAGGCCACAGGGGCCAGATGTTGCACAGCTGTAGCAGCACTTGTCTCAGCTGCTCAGGAACAGATGGCCTTTTACATCTGGACAACTATTGGCCTCACTGTCAGTGGAGTCAACAGGGCGACTGAAAAATCAGTCCGGTGATTGATGAAACTGGGTGATTCTTTGCATTCTGTCTATTTACTGCAGGGGTGTCAAACTCATTTTCACCGAGGGCCACATGAGCGTTATGGTGGCCCTCGAAGGGCCAGTTGTAATGAACTTTGATGTTTCATGTTTAACTTTGACTYAACAGAGTTTTAACACCTCCTCTTTTAAACACTGATAAGAACTAAGTGTATGACTGACTAAATCTGTAATAAATACAGAAATATCATTAAAAGTAAAACAAAAAAGTTTTTCTTTTCTACTCACTGGTTCATGAGCTATTTTGCTAATAGAAAAACAGACAAACACACACATCCAGGCAACTACATTGTCTCCTACCTTTCGTGGCAGCAGGAAATAAACATTTGTTTTGATATCGACACAAAGTCCTGATTTTAAGTCAAAATGAAACACATTGTTCAAAGGAAAAAGACTCGCAGTAACCAACCAAATCCATCAAAAGCTTAGTAGTGTTATCAATCTTACTAATGGACTGCCCGTCTCTTTGAGCAAAACTAAACCCCAGGAGACCAATCAGCACGATAGGAGAGTTGACACAAATACACATAAACACGTAACGGCATCTTTTGTTCGTGGATCACTCCAATTTGTCTTGGGATGAAAGGCAGAAGTGGCTTATTGTACGCAGGGGCGCAGATAGGATTTTTGAACTGGGGGGGACCAAGTTTTCAGCAAATGATTTCCATCTAAGTAATTTTTAGTAATTTGATTAGTTACTTTCATAATAGCTTTTGAGTGAATGGTTTGCAATAAAATGGCATTATAGAATTATTTGAAAT